CCCCCCCCCCCCCCCCCCCGCCCTCCCTCGTACACCCAACACAGGGCATACTCTTCTGTCCGATCTCTCTCCTCCTACCGACGACCAGCGGCTCGCCCCACCAACGGCCGTCCACTCGATGGGGGAAGCAGAGCACCCGACCGGTGGGTCAACTCTAGAGCCGGGCAGCGGCCGCGCATGAGCACCGCCGCCGCGCCGGCCGCCGCCGCGCCTGCTGTTGCGGTAGAGGTGGTGGAGAAGGAGGAGCTACCGACAAACGAGGGTTCGCCGGAGCTGTTGAAGATCCGGCATACATCGGCGCACGTGATGGCCATGGCGGTGCAGCGGCTGTTTCCGGGGACGCAGGTTACGATCGGACCCTGGATCGACAACGGGTGAGAGATACTGCTGTAGATATATACGAGAGCGCGCGGGGGGCACAGCAGTAATCATGTAAACGCATGCCGTAGTCGTTAGGCGATTGGCCTCGCATCCCTACAAGGCCGGGACGGAGCGATATGTGTCTTGCCCAGCCTACGTTTCACAAGGATGACCCAGAAGCTGATATAAATAGTGTCATCATACTTGCGTTTGCTGTGCCAATATGAGCGTGGTCATGAACGGCCGTGCGCCATATAAAAAGGTGTCCGTGTTAATGGCATTGATTGGTTTTAGGGGGGTCATGAACGGCTCTACATACTAAAGGTTTCCTTGTGAAAGGCCTCAATTGGTTTTTGATGCAGACGCTCACGATGAGTCGATTTGTCAACGTGACGTTCAGCAATCAGTCGGTATATCCTGGTGGCATCGTGTTCCGATACGTTGTTTGCTTTGGCAACAGGTTTTACTACGACTTCTATAACGAGGAGACGACGATGACAGACTCTGACCTGAAGAAGATCAAGAAGGAGATGGACAAGATCATCAGACAGAAGCTCCCGCTCGTGAGAGAGGAAGTCACCAGGCAAGCCCAACGCTACACTTGTACCCGGTCACACATGCTGATTTATTCGTGGACCGACCAATCAAGTTATTTTCGCAAGCAGTTTAAGCACGCGCTTCTGTGGGTAGCGATTTAAAATAGATTGCCCGTCAGCGAAGGAGAGGATAGCGACATCGAACGAATCACACGTGTTTGAGGTGCTCTGCCGCCCTCAGCGGCTGGTGTCGAGACTGGGTACTATGTTATCCCAGGAAAAGCAGATGGAGAAAAGGACCACGTATTATTTTCCGACACGCAAGCCCCTCAGGCAAGTGAGCTCGTGGGCTCTTTCTCTCTCTCTCACCGGGGGTCTTCTCCTACCCCCCATATGATTCATACCCATCCACGTAACCCCCATCAGGCGCATACAGCGCATGTAGACCGGACACACATCCAAAGTACCACAAAAAGCCCCCCTACTTGATATGCGTACGATCTTCCAGCCAATGCAAAAACGCAAATAACCACTTGAGAAACATCCTCTACAAGAACTGACCAGGCATGTAACACAAAGCGTCTCCATCAGCTAATTCAAGAATCCAATACATTCGCCCGTGGACATAATCTCAAACCGTCGACACAAAAGAATCACCCTCGGAAAAGTACCCAACAATTATTTGTGCTACATCAGAAAAGCGTTGGAACGAAAACAACCATTTTCTGGAAAACAGCTTCAAAAGAGTTGAATACCAAATCTTCAAACGAAACAAGAACTCAACTTCTTGACCAATCAAAACGAGAATTCGGAAAGCACAATGGCTCCAGCCGTTAGTCGTCAAAACACGTCAAACCCGTCATCCAGTATAGTGTCCAAGGACCAATCCTTAAACAGCGCGCACCCCCAAATCGGTGCCATCGCTGTTGTCCAAGAAACGGTAGAAAACAAAGCAAAAAACATCCATGCAAACAGCCCCCCTGCTGTGACATCCCAAGAAACTATCATCCCAACTTTATATCTTTACGCCAACAGCCCCCCTGTGGGGACATGTCCAAAAACATACTTCGTAGGAAAAAACAACAAGATATCAATTGCTGTTCATGCACTCTAAATCATGGTCACATATGACATCCCTCCCCACGGTTGCAGATACATACACAGCAAGAAGACACTACAACCTCTGCTGCAAAAAAACAGAAACAATGCCGAAATAACAAACGCAAAAACCTTACATCAAATAGCAAAAAAAAAAACGCAAACGACCAACAAGGAAACGTTACTTGATGTTCATCACAACATCACGGCGATGGTGGCGCCGCGGCCGCGGCGGCGGCGGGAACGGCAGCAGCGGCAGCAGCAGCGATAAAACACCCTCTTTCCCGTCGGCTTGATGCCCATCTGTCGCGCCGTCTCGCGAATAAGGGCGTCATGCGCATGGCCGAGAATGGTGTTGTGACAATGGTGGTTGTTGTGCGTGTCGGCGACATTTTCTCGATCGGGACAAAGAGTAGGTGTGATCAGTTTGGCAGAGACTTGAACGCCTACCATGACCACAGCGACCGCACATGGGCACGGCGCACATCGATCCCGGGGGGATGGGGGACTCCGGCTGCGGCCACGCTGCGTTCCGCCCGGGGTCTGTGGCGCCCCCCGGAACAAAACCCATCGCCATCGGAGGAGTGGTCTACTGCTGCTGCTGCTGCTGCGGGAAAGAATTGGGGGAGGCGGAGGGAAAATGCTGAGGGTGTCGCCGTTGATACTGCTGCTGCGGCGCCTGCTGCTGGAACGACGGCTGCGACTGCTGCTGCTGCTGCTGGCGATAGCCCCCCTGGTACTCTCCCAGGGATCCTCCTCCCCACCCTGGCTGCTGCTGCCCATCTCTACCTCGCTGTGTACCTTGGGAAAAAACTCCGGTCCTCCGCTGCGGACCGCCGCCGCCGCCGCTGCCGTTGGGCCGTGAATTTCCGCCGAAACGAAGAGCGTGCGGGTCGCCGGCGGCGCTGCCGTCCGCCGCACAACATTTTCGAGGTCGTGCTTAAGGTGGCGGCTACGCACAAGAGTCTCCAAGTCCGTGCGTGTGAGCGAGCGATCAGACATGAACAGCCGCTTGAGCTGGTCGTAATCGGCCGAGAGGTTCCTACGAAGAAGCGCAAGGACCTCTCTGTCTGTGATGTCATCGCCGTTGACGGCGCGGATTATAGACAGCACGTTGTCAAACCTAAGAAAGTAATCCCTTTGTTCCTCTCCGAGCTGCATCTTCATGTTGGTGAGAGACAGCTTCAGAGCCTCCTTCTCGGAGTCAGTCATCGGGAGGCAGAACTGTTGGGCAGCCTCCCACGCCCCAGACACAAGTCCCAACTTACAGGATTTTAGCCTGAAATTTTGGCCCCCTTCGTGGCGCACATTAGGTTCTCAAAAGCACACTCATGTTCACGCACGCGCCGCTCACCGTGAAAGCGGATGTTTTCGCTACTTGACGTGTGGATGCGCCAGATGCGTTGATGAGGACTCGACGGCTCCGCAAGTATGTGCGCAAGAAAATTTCGCGAGGGAGGAAGATCTCGAACAGCGTCTTGAACAGCGGGAAGTTGCCGTCGTACACCGGTGGCTTCCGGTCCTTCCGCTGCATTCCATTCGATCATTCTGAATCTGAACAGTAGTAGCCGCTCCCCCGGCTCCAAAAGTAGCCGCCCCCCCGGCGGCTCCATCCCTGTTATAGTACCCGGGCGCATAACCCGCGCCGTCCATCCTCATGTTGCCTGCCGTATACCCGGCATCACCCACTCTTCCTCTCGCGGCTTCCTCCGCTGAGCTCCTATCTTCTTCTTCATGGACTCTCCTCTGTGACTCCTCGTTCTTCAATCTTTCTTCTGACTCCTTCTTTTCTTTGCGTCATCGCCGAACCAACACCTGGCCTAGCTAGGCTCTCGACGATCGATCGTGTTCGAGGTGCTCTGCCGCCCTCAGCGGTCTGTGGTGTCGAGACTGGGTACTATGTTATCCCAGGAACAGCAGATAAAAAAGTACGATGTATTATTTTCCGACACGCAGGCCCCTCAGGCAAGTGAGCTCGTGGGCTCTTTCTCTCTCTCGCACCAGGGGTCTTCTCCTACCCCCCATATGCTTCACACCCATCCACGTAACCCCCATCAAACGCATACAGCGCATGTAGATCGGACAAACATCCAAAGTACCACAAACAATACGTACTCGTTTCGGGAAAGCATCGTGTTGAGAGAGCTTTCCTACCGCCTACATACCCCCCGCGAAGTGTCAACCGTTAGTTGACGTTATGTGTCCGGTCCATGGACGGTGCCGTGGCTGGTACATCTCGCTCTTGCTGTTGCTCCACGTTATAGGGAAGAGGCAAGAAGTCGCATTGAGGCCTTGGGGGAACCCTTCAAGCTTGAGATTCTGGACTCGATCAAGACGGAGCCCATCACGCTTTACCACGTGGGAGACCAGTGGTGGGATCTGTGCGCCGGCCCCCACGTTGAAACAACTGGTGAGCCTTGCCCTTGGCCTTAGCCTTGATGCCGGCGTCGTGTCATGTTGCGGGCGTACCCACTTTAGGACCAGAGCATGTGTGTGTAGGTCTTGAATTCCCGGAAACCACGAAGAGCAATGTATGGAAGCGTCATGACCGGAACTGGCTTGGCCATCCTGTTGAAGGCGTTCGATGTACCATGCCGTGGGCAGCTCTTGAGCTATTGATCGCTCATCTGCCCCTTTGATGGGCCCACCCATCTCCAGCAAGCCTTTGTGAGCGTTTTGATGCCTATGCGACTCTAGTAGTCTACCAAGCGCGAGCGCCGTAAAGGTGCCGGCGAACGGACAGGTGTGCGATGATCCGGTCATTTTTTTTTTTAAGGCTCAATTGCTCCACAACCTACACGGAAAGAGGGTCGACGAGACCATTCGAAAACCACCCTCCTTGTTTTGTTGCATCAAACGAGCTGTACTGTAACAATCGATTGCCCACCTGTCCGTTCGCCCGCACCTTTGCGGCATGTTTAGGATAGCTGCCTATCCGACCTCGCCCGACACGCCGCCATCACGAGACAACAAACACAAACTGTACATTGTAACAAAAAACACGCCGACGGCAATGACAATGACGACAACACGATGTGTGCCAGGCGACCTTCCCCAGAAGGGCATCGAGCTGCAGACGTTGGCCGGTGCCTACTGGCGCGGAGATGAGAACAGGCCGGCGCTACAGCGTATCTACGGCACCGCGTGGGAAAACCCTGCCCAGCTCAAGGTATCTAGGTAGCTACAATATTTAGCATGTCCCAAGAGGTGGTTTCGTTGTTGCGGTTCGTTGTTTCGTTTCGACTTGGCTAGTCGTTTCGCGTGTGGGTGTGCTGATGACCGATGGCTTGTTTCCATCGATGATTAGGTTGGCTCCACCGGTGTCGCCACCAGAATTGTGTTTGACGCCCTACGCCCCGGTATTACATGGGTTTTTGAATGCGACACTCATGCGACACTAAGGCCTGTTGAACAGAACGGGTTGCCTGTTTTGTGCCGGTATGCGCCCAGAAAGTTAACCGGCAATATACTGGACGGGCACTATTCAAAGCACTGACAACGGCTTGGAAATTCAGTGTGTGCCCACCGAAAACACCGGCACCGCTGTACCGGACATTGGCACTATTCAACCGGCACTACACAGGGACCCCCACCGTGGTCGAAAAATGAAAAATGCATCCCGAGGGTACATCGGACTCTTGGCATGTTGGGTCCCACGCACCGCCCTGATTAATGAGTTGCCTCTGGCGGTGATCGTTGTTGGACAGTGACAGTGGCAGTGTGGTGGTTGACGCCAATGTTGCGTCGGCCGGACACGGGGCCTCATCTGTTGGTTGTGTATGGTGCGTGGTGGTGTTGCCTCACTCTTCACTACAATAATAGCTCCTTTGTTCCACACCTTGTTTCAATGGCCCGCCCGAGGGACAGTGGCGGTGTTGGGGGCATGTCGGGCAAAAGAACACGCGTTGACGTCGCGTTTGCCGCCTTGTTTTTTCTTGGGGGCATTGGCGTCGGAAGCTGGATACCGTGGCACACCCTCCACACTCACGCTGAACTGTAGCTCGAGTGAGCTGGCGCGGCCAGCTTCTCCACTATCTTCTCACACGTCCGATCACATCACTCAACAAAAGGAACACCCGCCCTCCTCCCTCCCTCCCTCCCTCCCTCCCTCCCTCGTGCTACCTGCTGCGTAACCTACCCTGCCCTCCCGGGCTCGGGTCTATGACGCATGTTGCCGTGGGGTCGATGACGTCGGTGAAACAGGAACACAAGCGGCGTATGGTGGAGGCCAAGCGGCGAGATCACCGCGTTCTGGGCAAGAAGCTCGACCTTTTTTCGCTACAGGAAGACGCCGGCGGTGGCCTGGTAGGATGAAGAACAAACTCAAGCCTGTTTGCTCGATCTCATATCATCTTCCTCAGTTTTGTGGTCGGCGCTGTACCTGGCGGCATGAGTGTGGGATTCTTCTCTCGTAGATGTCGTAGATCTCGTAGATTGGTGGTGAGCGCTTGGATTGGCGTGGACATAAACAGGTCTGCTTCCCGCGCAACATCGCGCGAGCTTGTCGATTTTATGCGTGCGAACCGAAGGTGTTCCACTTGTAACGTACTGCTGTCACTTTCCTTGTGTTTCAGGTGTTTTGGCATCCGAAGGGGTCGACTATCCGAATGCTGATCGAGAACTTCTGGAAGGCCCAGCACCTCGATAAAGGGTGAGCGAGGAACAACGCGCGAGCGAGAGACTAAGATTTTCTTCCGACTCTGCGTTCAGGACGTAGAACTTGATTACATGACTCCTTTTTCGGGGGGGGGGGGGGGGGGGGCACACAAGAATATATATTTGTGTGTTTGATCTGGGCCGTGGGGGTGGCATGTGCCACCGATGGATTCCCTCTCTGCTAGTTTGAAGACCATCCCCATGTTTCCTGCGCTACAGTCATGATGGTCGTTGTGATTGTTGTTGTGGTCGCTTCGCTGCTGCTGCTGTGTTTGTTTGCCTTGCGAAAAGAGGCGTCGCCGTAAGTGTCAGCGTCAGTCAGCTTTGGCGGTTTCACCTTTTGCATCCATTCGATGTGGGCATGACATCGGCATCATCGACATGCCCCACCACACCACCACCGAACACTTACCGTCTTGACCTCGCCCACACGGACTGATCCTTTGCTCTACCTCTCTCTCTCTCTCTCTCTCTCTCTCTCTCTCTCTCTTTCTCTGTGCTCTCTCTCTCTCTCTCTCTCTGTCTGTCTGTCTGTCTGTCTCTTTCTCTATTTCTCTATTTTTCTATTTCTCTCTTTCTTTCTCTCTCTCTCCCTCTCTCTCTTTCTGTCTCTTCTCTCTCTGTGTCTCTCTCTGTCTATCTGTCTCTCTCTTTCTCTCTTTCTCTATTTTTCTATTTCTCTCTCTCTCTCTCTCTCTCTCTCTCTCTCTCTCTCTCTCTCTCTGTTTTTCTGTTTTTATTAGTTACGAGCTGCTCTACACTCCGCACGTAGCCAACCTCGACCTGTGGAAGACTTCCGGGCACTTCGACTTCTACAAGGACGGGATGTTCGACCAGATGGATGTGGAGGGAGACCAGTATCAGATCAAGCCCATGAACTGCCCCTTCCACTGCCTCGTGTACAAGGACGACCTTCGCTCTTACAGGCGTGTATCCTTACCCTTAGCGTACTTGCCATCTTGCTTTCTCGATCTAGAAAGTGTCGTTGTTGGTGTTGGTGTTGCTGTTTGTGGTGTGGTGCATGCAGCGTGCTTTAGACTACCGTGAGGATGCGAGATAACGCACGGGGGTGCGATCTATTTTTTAATTATTTCGTTCATGACATTGATCGCACCCCATTTGGCGCACCCCCGTGCGATATCACTGGTACGTGCGATATCACCGGTGCCCGTGCGATGATCGAAATATATTGTTTGGTTCTTGGTTTTTCATCGCACGGGTGTGCAATATCACCATTACGTGCGGTACTGAGTAAACAATAAACCCTACAGCAGCTACCGTGGGTGCTTTCGACGCAATAGCGTGAAGTGATGAATGACAGTCTCCCTGACTCCTTGTTTTTTGTCATATTTTCATACTTTCCAAGTGTTTCAATATGTGGTACGCGATGCCGCCATACGTACAGCACAACACCGTTCACGATACCGCGAAGTACCTCCTGCGCAGCGAGTGCCCCTGAGCCACTCGAGGCTCGGTGTCGGTGATACCGATCACCGAACCCTGTGCGATAATCGAAGTAAATCACTTGCTTATTGTTTTTTTGTCGCACGGGGGTGCGATATCACCAGTATGTGCGATATCACTGAACCCCGTGCGATAATCAAATTAAATCACTTGCTTCTTGGTTTTTTATCACACGGGGGTGTGATTTTATGGCACGGGGTTGCGATATCTCCGGTATGTGCCATATCACAGAGCCGTGCGTTCTCTCGCGTCCTTACCGTACACGAAACCCAGTGTGTCTCTCCCTGACAGAGTCTTTCTATCCGCGATGTACCCCCATGACCCTCCGTGACAAACAGAGATCTTAAACGATTCGATGGACAATCATGACACTAACCACGCAAACAGAAATCTATCTGATCGATCCGATGGGCAATCATGACCCTCCCTAACAAACAGATATTTCCCATCCGCGACCCCCCTCTCATGACAGAGAGCTTCCGATCCGTTGGGCCGAGATGGGCACGGTGTACCGTTACGAACGAAGCGGCACTCTCCACGGGCTGATGCGAGTGCGAGGCTTCACCCAGGACGACGCCCACATCTTCTGCCTACCGGAGCAGCTGGAGGACGAGATCATCTCCGTGCTCGACCTGACAGAGGCGATCTTGAGCCGATTTGGTTTCGACAGGCGAGTGTGGGTTGGCGGTGTGGTGTTCAAGGTGACCAGGCGATAACACCCTATTTAGCAGCCGATCCTTGTGGAGATACATAAGACGTGCTTCCATTAGTTGGAGCATCAGACGTGTTGAGGTGAGCCACGAGAGCCCGATGTACAGGGGACTCCGTAACTCCCAAATCAGCAGATCACACCACACCGATCCCCAGGGGCTCCGTGTATCATACCGACCTTCGTGTACACCAAACACGTGGGTCGTCGTCGCCTCCTCGGCGTGGTATCTACAGTATGGTTGTCGCAGAGACACTACCAACATGGCACAACCGCACCCACCTCTGGCTTTGTATGATTGTGTGATGCAGCATCCATGTCTCGTACATATGCGCAAGTGTTGTACGATTGTCCACGGCATGTTGCACGTTCTCACCTCACCTCACTTATAATAGTAAATAGTAATAGTAATAGTAATAGTAATAGTAATAGTAATAGTAATAGTAATAGTAATTTCCTTTATAAATAGAAATTTAATAACTTTGGCGTGAGGTATTCGGCGAGTCGCATGAAGGGTGCGCAATGCATCCTGCTGACGGTGTTCGGCATCTTGTGCTTACTTCCTTGCGTACGGATGACAGCTGCGTATGACTT